CAGATAGTGGGGCTACAAATCATATCATAGCAGACTTGGAAAACCTTGCATTGCAGCAACCATATCAGGGTACTGAGACTGTAGCTGTAGGAAATAGTAATGGTTTGAATATTGCACCCACTGGTTCCGCTATCTATCCTCTTCCCAACTCTGATTTACATCTAAATGATATTTTGCATTGTCCCAATGTTTCCAATAATCTGTTGTCTATCCAAAATTCTGTCAAGACAACAATTGCTACTTCAAACTAACTGATTCCTATTTCTTGGTGAAGGACAACTTGAATTGGGCAATCCTCCTACAGGGACCCAGTGAAGGCAGCTTATATCATGTGCATCTCAATAAGTTTGTCACCAATAAAAGGGCATCTGTAGCACTGATTGGAATCAAGGCATCAACAGATATCTGGCACAAAAGATTAGGCCATCCTAATTCTCAAACTCTACATCGAGTTCTTAAAAACTACCAGCTACATGTGTCATCCAATAAATCCCACTCAGAGCTATGTATGCCCTGTCAATTAGGAAAGAGCAAACATCTACCTTTTAATAAGTCTGACCGTGTGTCTTCTAGGCCTTTAGAGTTGATTCATCGTGATGTATGAACCTCACCAGTTTTATCAATAAACGGATTCAAGTATTATGTTATCTTTACTGACAATTTTTCAAGATATTCTTGGTTATTTCCTCTAAAGTACAAATCTGATCTGTTTGATTGTTTTGTCAAGTGTAAATGCATCATTGAAAACCAACTCTCTTGCAAAATTAAGCAATTCCAAACAAATGGTGGGGGTGAATGTAATGGTGGGGGTGAATGTACTTCAAATTTATTCACCAAATTTCTGACTGAGTGGGATCTATCATCGATTTACCTGTCCTCATACATCTCAACAAAATGGGATTGTTGAGAGGAAACGCAGGCATGTGTGTGAAACTAGTCTAACTCTTTTAACCCAATCTCATCTTCCATCCACGTATTGGGTAGAAGCGTTTCATACAGCAGTTCACTCAATCAATAGACTTCCTTTATCTGTGCTGCAATTTGAGATACCTCTTACCAAGTTATTTAATAAAGAACCAAACTTCTCCCTTCTAAAAACTTTTGGTTGTGCATGCTATCCTCTTCTCAGACCATACACCAAACACAAGCTGGAATTCAGAAGCAAAAAATGTGTCTTCTTAGGCTATGGTTCCAATCAGAAAGGCTATAAATGTCTAGATTTGCAAACTAATAAAATTTACATGTCAAGACATGTAGTCTTTGGTGAGAACTTATTTCCTGCACAGGAGGAAGGCTACACTCTCTACCGTGCTCGAGGACAATCCTCTCCATCAGGTACTATCCTCTTACCTTCTCACTTTTATTCACTGAATTCTCCCACGATTCCTCTGCATTCATCTCAGAATATGCTCACAAGCAATCACATTCCCTCCAATCAACTCAGAGTTGAGACTAACCCTATCACCAATTCCACCTCAAATACTGAAACCACACCAGCAGTCAATTCAGTTGATTTTGAGATAGCCTCCACTTCTAATCAAACCTCAGATCCTTTACATGCATCCTCTCCTGCACAACTCCTTACTTATGACTCAGAAATAGTCGCCCCTCCCACTCCAACCTCTGTTTCTTTACCTGAATTCTCTCCTGCACAGATCATCAATAGATCCATGACAGGAAATTCCAAACCCAAACAATTCCCTGACTATCATTTGTATCTCTCCAACAAGTCCACTAATCATCCTGTTAAAGCCTTACATACCAGTTTTCTGCCATGTGAACCCAAATCATTTTCTAAAGCTATATCTAATCCTGATTGGTTCTCTGCAATGCAAAGTGAATACCAGGCTTCGCTGGATAACCAGACATGGAGCCTTTGCCTGAGACCCAAAGACCGAAATGTTATCCATAAAAAATGGGTGTACAAGTTAAAGCAAAAACCAGATGGAACCATTGATAGATATAAGGCCAAATTAGTTGCAAAAGGGTTTGAACATAGAGATGGTATTGACTATACAGAAACATTTAGTCCAGTAATAAAACCGGCCACCATTTGATTACTTCTAGCTATTGCACTACACTTTGACTGGCCTAACAAACAAGCGGATGTATCCAATGCTTTTCTTCATGGTTTTCTCAATGAGGAAGTTTTTATGGAACCTTAAGGTTTTGTGGATAGAGCATTTCCTAATCATGTATGCAGGTTGCATAAGACTCTCTATGGTCTTAAGCAAGCCCCAAGGGCATCGTATACTCGACTTACTCAAACCCTACAAGGTCTTGGCTTTACAGGTTCTCTATTGGACACTTCTTTATTTATATATCACAACGGTCCAGTACATACTTATGTGCTCATCTATGTTGATGATATACTAGTGACTGGTTCTCACAGCTCTAGTATTATGGGGCTAATTCAAAGTTTGCAAAAAAAATTCAAAATGAAGGACTTGGGTGACTTGAGTTACTTTCTAGGCATCCATGTACACAGAACCTCTTCAGGGATGCATCTCAATCAAGCTAAATACATCTACGGTCTGCTAGATGGTACCAATATGCTTGGAGCCAAGCCTTATTCAGATCCTTGTGTTTCTGGACAAAAGTTAAGCAAACTTGAGGGTGATCCTTTACCTAATCCCACCATTTACAGACATATTGTTGGTTCCCTACAATATTGCACACTTACAAGGCCTGATATCTTCTATTCAGTAAATCAACTATGTCAGTTTTTACATTGTCCTACCACTGTCCATTTTACAGCAGCAAAAAGGGTACTAAGGTATCTAAAGGGCACTATTGATCATGGCTTATTTTTCAAATTAGGACCACTGCAATTGGCAGCATATTGTGATAGTGACTGGGCTGGAGATCATCTAGACAGCAGATCAACCAGTGGCTATGGAGTGTTTCTAGGCAATTGTTTGATCTCATGGCAAGCAAAGAAACAACCGGTTGTATCCAGATCCAACACAGAAGCAGAGTATAGAGCTATGGCCTTCCAACAGCTGAGTTATATTGGTTAATAATGCTTTTCAAAGACTTGCAGTGCTCAATTGAGTCTACTCCACAGCTGTGGTGTGATAATATGGAGCATTAGCACTAGCCTCCAATCCTATTTTTCATGTTAGAACTAAACATGTGGAGGTTGATTATCATTTCATTAGAGAAAAAGTGATTAACAAAGACATCATTCCTCAATACATAACCACTGCTGATCAGATAGCAGATGTCTTTACAAAGGGATTCACTTCTTCAAGATTCTTGTTGCTCAAAGACAAACTAATGGTCACTGAATCTCCCATTAGTGACAGGGGATGTTAAGAATATCAGATCAGTTCCAACTCTCAACAATATCTCAACAGAGGATCCTGTGTCAAAGGATGGCAGTTGTCGATAGATTCTGTTACAGTTCAATTATATTTGAATAGTTGTATATCTTATCTTATCTTTCTGTTGTAACAATTAATACTTATCACATTGTAACTACTCTATTTATAAATACTAAGCATATCAGGCAGGATAGTTATCCTTGCTAATTCAGCCATTTAGACATTCTTTCTTGAAATTGACCCCAAGGCCCCCTAATTAAGATCATGGTCAACCAACAATGCTTTCTGCCTTTGTATCACCAATAGCCAGTGATAGAAACTGCTAAGGAAGGTCACGAAACAGTCTACTAAAATTTGACATGAGAACAGCACATATAATAAACAAGTTAAGCTTGAACTAATTAGTAAATTCGTCAATTTGTTTGAGTTCGGCTCAAATATGTCTCGATGAACTAATTAACATCTTAAGACTAAAAAGTCGAGCTACTCAAGATTAGCTCAATAAGAATTGTTGAATATCGGCTTGAAGTTAAACAAGCCAAACATAAACCTTAACAGATATTAGGCTGAACAACCTTATAATTCAGCTAATAACTTATAGAGCATTTGTGCTAAATGCATTTTTAGAATGCATATAAACCTAGATAAACCTGTCAAATGTAATTTACTCAATCATTTGCAAACCAAATGACCAATAAAGAAAGGAGCCGCACATCCATCTCATGGCCGGCATTACAGGATCAATCTGGCATCATCTGCTGCCAATAAAAGAAGAATCAAACTGCCTAGAGCCCTCATCCAAATAATCATAAACGGCAAAACTAGTTTCTCATCCAGTAACACACTGCGAGTATTCAAGTGAAAAAAAAAACTCAAGGATAGCATAGAATATGTCAAAATGATTGTAGATTTCAATCAACAATTTCAAGACTTCAAGAGGAGATTAATTCCCAATGGATAGTTATATCTCGAGCTAAGTAAATTTCCTACTGTGATAGGGTCCAGAAACAGAATACCATTTCACATGTCAGTGTGCGGACTTTGATGAGATATTCCCGCATCTTAACAAAAGTAGGAAGCAAGACTGAACGGGAAAGTAACAAAAGTTTAGGCTTTAGGTGTTTATTTCTTCACACCGGTGCCTGTTAAATCCATATCCTGAAGTTTTAGCAGCAGATCATCTGAACTCAAGAACACCTTGTTGGCTGCTTTTGAGATTGTGTGTGCAATTTCTCTCGCTGCTTCAATTTTCCTGAGTGTGATAAATGCTGGGTTGTTGGCAATAGCTTGGCCGATCAGCTGGGCACTCTTAGCCTCACCCTGATACCAAAGAGAGAGGGTGATGTCTTAACTGAATGAATCTAACTGCTCTATATATGAAAATTCAGAAACAAGAAATTGACAAGGAAAAAAAAAAACCCCACTTCATGCAGAAGATGATCTTTTCACTAAAGTGAAAAGGAAAAGAACAAACTTCACCCATAAATCATGACTGCCTTAACCCCCAAAATATGTATTCATATGTTTAAGCTTTCACTAAGGTGAAACCATCGGGTGATACTAATGTGTCAGTATAGGAATACATCAACAGTATGCCAGACAATCAGAAATACTATCATTTCCACAAGAGCAGTTAAACAATTTTCCTCACTTAAAAAGAGTAAAGCAGAAAGTTGAATTAAAAAACCAATCAGGATCCAAGCTTGAGGATTGATAATTTCTCTCACCTGTGCCCTGATTACAGCGCTTCGCTTGTCTTGCTCAGCCTTTTCCACAACAAACTTGGCCCTCTCAGCTTCTTGTGCAGCCACCTGCTTAGCTTCAATTGCAGCTGTAAACTCCTTCCCAAAAGTCAGGCTAGTAATGGACACATCATCGAGCGCAATGTTGAAGTTGGCTGCCCTTTCTGTCAGTATTTTCCGTATTTCCCTACTAACATTCTGCACAGAAGCACGTTAGAAAAAAACTTGGTTACCAGTACTAATTTCATTCTGATTACTCAACCTTGTAGAACAAAATATACCAAGAAGCCAAAATATAACAAGGATGAATTGAGCCACTTGTAATAAAAAATACCAAAATAATTCTGACAATAAAACAACTCTCACGCCATGAGCTTAATTTTTAACTAATAAGGTTGCCAACAGGTACTAATAACACAAACTTGCAACATGGATCCTAATACATGCAATGTTGCTGCATAGAACTTCAAAATTTTAATTTTCAAAGTAAACAATCAACTAAAAAGGCCTACCACGCACCTCTCTCTGAGTAATGAGCTGGCTTGCATTGTACTGTGCAACCACAGCTTTCAAAGTCTCATGAATAATTGAAGGCAGGACTCTTTCATTATAGTTCTCACCAAGAGTCCGATAAATTGTAGGTAATTGGTCTGGTACAGGACGAGTAAGAACTCGAAGACCAATTTTTACCTGAACAACAAAATCAACAGCCATGTTCAGAAAGCCTCGACTCAAAATTACAAAAATCATGCATTCTGAGAGAAAAATTATGAGATCAGAAAGAACGTTGTCTCCACTTCAACCTCTAACAACCATAACAAAACAAACTACCTAGACAATGGCAATCAATCATACATCATATGCAATTAAATCTTTTATGTCCATTTAAACTATAAGATCCTAGAGACATTGGCACAAGGGGAAGAAGGAAATTATTCAAAACAACTAAAAAATTAAAAAGATTGTGTACCACAACATTTGTTGGCAACGCAAGGAAATAAAATTTTATATTGCAAGTCGGACAATAACTTAACATACGAAAATATAAAGTCAAGCACTGGATCAATCACATATATACTCTGGTATGAAATTTCAGCCATTGATGATCATGGTTGAAATACTGGACAAGGTATTAATACGAGGGACTTTCATTAAGGTGTACCCAAAGTAGGACAAAACTAGTCTTAGAGCAGATCTTCAAAAATGTGAAGAAAACATAATGCTGGATAGGGATTGACTCCAAATCAATGACTTCACAAAACCATAAAGACACCACATTTCATTTTTTGTACTTATCTTTCTTCAGCACATGAATTATTATTGTCAGAAAAACTCAAAACTTTGACAAAATGCAGTTACATCAGAAAACTTAATCTTTATGAAAAAAAAATAATAATAATAGCAAAACAGCAAGAACCTAAAGCTTGGAATTAGATCTCAAAAAGCTCAAAATGACATTTGCAATTTAAAACATCTCGAGCTACAAGATTTTCCTAAATATCTCAAAACATACATCTGGTGACTCAAACAGAAGATAACTCCCCTTTCTTCCCCTTTTCTCCTTTGATAATTAAGTCAAAAGCAAGAAGCTTTCAAGTAGTCCGGAAACAATGAAGAAATCCCATAAATACAGGTTGTGAACACGCGGAATTGTGAATGGATTACTAGATTAAGAATGTCTATAAAGATGTGCACAGCACCACTTAATTCTTACTATTCTTAACTAGTGTTTTCCAACATTTAAAATACCTTTTTGTAAGCCTTATCTACCGAGTCAAGAAAGAGATTGTCCGATGAACAACCGGCATATTTAGGTAAATGAACTACCAACAATATTGCACCAATTTATTAATTTTGACATTTATCAAACATGAAGTCAATTTGTAGCTCTAACCGAAAATGTTAAATAAGCCCTTCTTTAAAACTAAAAACGAAGGATGTAACTCTTAAGTATGCTATAAAAAAAAAAACCAACAAATAACGATAATATAGTGCCTATTAAATATGAATGTTGCAACCACAGCTCTAAATATGTTGAAATAAATAGAAAATTGCAGTTTACACCCACACACATGTAAAAAAAGAAAAGGGGGGGGGGGGGGGGAAGAGAGAGAGAGAGTTTTCACCATCTGGAGATCACGACTACCCGAAGTGCTCTCCACCAGATGGGGTCGTGCACGAACATCATATATGATTGGTCTTTCAAACCACGGGATCATCAGGTGCGTTCCTTCAGGATAAACCTATTCATCCGACATATAAGCACATGGCAACAACAACTAACAGCATATAATGAAAAACAAGAGCGAAATAAAATTAAACACCTTGACAATACATGAAACACAAAAATCGAGCTCAAGAAAATTACACGCCATTCAACAACTATTAGGGTAAGGAGAATATAATATGGAATAAAGAATTCCCTTCATTCATAAAGAAAGAGAAGAAGGCGTCAATCACATCAATTTTGCATACCCTAGTTGATGCAACAATTAGACAATGCTGAAAAAAATAAAATACCAAAAAATTTCCATAGGTTAATTTTAGGAGAATCACAGCAGATTGAAGAGGGACGAGAAGCGAGAAGCGTATATAGCATCCATACAACAGCCAAAGCAATCCAGGGAACTTCTCGCATCAACAATCCACTCAAATGCATCAACAAGAAGGTGTCTTACAATCCAATTAAGACTGTAAGAAGTCCTCATGTTGAACAAAGCCAAGAGTAGGATTTCGGTCTCAAACCAATTGGTTGTCCAACAAACACCTCATGTCTTCAAATGAAAATGAATAAAGATATATTCTAGGAATTAAATGATCTACTGACAATTGAAAGTATCTAAATCTGCTGAAACTTTTTATCTAGAAAAAGAAACTATGTCCCCCTCATCTAAGTAGCATGGGCACTATTCAAGAAAACTGGTGTCCATTATCCTGCAGTTGGACATCTTTTTTTTTTTTTTTTTTTTCAAATATGTTTTTTTGGGGGAGGGAGAGGGGAATGGGAATGGGGAGGGGGATTTGAACTCTTGACATTAAGAAGACAAAGTCTTTACAAGACAAGAAGTACCATTGGACATCTTTAGTCCTAGGCTCGAGGACTAAAATAAAATCATACATGCGGCAGAAAAAAGAATGGCATAAGTTAGATAAGGATTGGACAAGCCATATATGAACCTTACCTTTAAAGACAAATCAAAATTGTAGTAAAAATAATGAAAGTAAGCATACATAATAGCATTGTGAGGGTGCGTGCGTGCATGCATAAAAAATGTATATGTAACTATCTGTGCAGATGAATGTATCAAAAATTTATGATCATGTTGTCTAAAAACTGTCATGTAATATCTGTACAAAAATTCTCGGGTTTGTCTGCCATTGAGCAATAAATGCTTCCACTACAATCTCATGTTAACGTCTGAATCATTAAGATAAACAGAATACTAGTCAATGAATAAGAATTGCAGTTTTCTCGAGTTTCAAGCAGACTATGGATGAAATTCAGAGCCTTGTTTTAGAAGATTTGAAATAACCAGGTGGAACGAGTTACTCGAAATCCATCCATGATAGACTAATCACACAAGGACTGTAGTTGGATATAATTGCCTAGCTCTAGTCTATCCTCACGTTCATCTCCCCCAACCCAACTCTAATGACCAATTCTTTCACATGCTTATGAGTCCTAGCCCATATGCGTTCATTTCAAATATTTCAATCTAAATGTTACCTCGAAGAATCAGTTTCAAACTGTAAAATCAATGCTTAAACAGATTTACTAAGAAAAACTAATGAGTACTGAGACCCTAAACTATTCATCCACTGAACGAATTGTTGAAATCATCAAAATAAAGGAAACCACTGAGAAAACATTACACTAGCCAGCTCAGTACTTCTCCTTCAAGTAAAACAAAAGGGGTAAATTACCGTGGAAGGATACATAAAGAAATAAAACTAAATGACAAAATGTATAGCGTAAATTGTGAAAATCAAGATAATAACCTTATCTTTGACGCCAATAATACGGTTGAAGACAATAGCTCGATTTCCTCCATCAACATTGTAGAGACTGTTAGCAGCTCCGTATATGCCAAGCCCAGCAATTGCTCCAAACTTGATCAAAGCAGAAGCCGCACCACCACCCGGAACATTTGGAATCTTCACGTTCTTGAAATTCATTTTCCCCAATTTCTGAGAGTTACACAGCCAAAGAATGAGAGAGAGAGAGAAGAAGAAGATGAAGATCGTGTACCTGACGGAAGCCGATCACCAGCGAAAAAATGAGAGAGACAGAGAGCAGAGACAGAGAAAGAAAAGGGTTTATGAGAGAGCTTGGGGAAGGGGTTAGGGTTTTAGGGGCATAATGGGTTTTTTAAATTAATTTCTTATTCATTTTTCTATTTATTTTTTCGTTTTGTAAACTGTTGATCTGGGATGTACGTAATGGGCCAGGGCCTGGCCTTGTTTGCTATATATTGAGGCCCAGCTACCGTACATAGTATTGGTCCTGTACTATATTGTACACAGTAAATTAGAAAAGCGTACTCTAAATTAGATTTAATTATAAAAAGATATACAGAAAAAAATGTAAAGTAAAGAAATTATTAATTTTAGATCTTAATTGTGTACAAGTATATAATTTGAAATTTTAATATTTTTCTTTGGCATTTGTATCCTCCCTTAAATCATGCGATTATTTTTGAAAACTATTTTTTTTTTCAAATTATATTTATGTATTAAAAATCTCCTAATTTAATGAAAGATTTGACCTTCCATTTATTTTGGGAATAAATCAGTTGATTTGAATTTTAAATTTTTCAACAATATCATTTGTTGTCTTCTTCTTCTTCGGCCTGGAAGCAATTTATCAATACATGTCCGAAACATTTATTTTCATGTTTATCATTCAATCTAAACAATTATAAGGTTTGAATTTATGATTCTATTAGATTTATGTATGTCATTTTAAAGATAATTATATTATTTTTGAGTAATGCTATTGAGACATAATTTGATGACATAATGAGTTGTCACCAATGATATGATATTAAATTCATTAATGCTACAATGGGACCCATAATTAAATGCATTTCACTATCATTTCATTGGTGACAACTCATTATGTTTCTAAATTGTGTCCATAAATTATGTCCTAATAACATTAGTGATTATTTTTTTATATGCGAACATTATAACCAAAGTTCATCCTATATATACATTTACAATGTAACAATAATATTGTAAAATTTTACTTATACAGTCCAGCTCTATTTTGAATTTGTTACTTCATCTATAAAATTACTGAACAATGTCTATATTATAGTGTTACACTCAATATTATCAGAATCGGACTGAACATCAAACCGGCAAAAAGATCGGATCAATGGTTCAATCGTTGGATCAACTAGTCGAACCGGAAGTATAATTAAAAATTATAAAACATAAGTAATTTACCTTAAAAAATATAAAATATTTTCACTCTAATTTATTTATTCTATTTTCTATCAAATATTCTTTGGAACAAATTAGAAAGGGGCAAGAGAGTAAATAAGGCAAAAAAAGAAAACTCCAAAAACTATTTGAGAAAAGGGACCCAACAACTATGGTGTACACTATACTCTCTCATCTTCCGTGTCGTTGCAAAAGATGTGAGAAAGAGTGAAGAGGAGAAGAGAAGAAATGAGGTGATCCCTTTATGAGAGAGAGACTTCCCATTCAAGAAAGTAAGGATAAATCAGTTGCCTGAGCCATCTCCACTCAAGAGGAAAATCGCTTGAGCCGTCACAACTCAAGAGAGGAGATCACCTGAGTGTTCGCCGGGGCCATCGCCACTCGCTTGAGTTGTAGCTTTGGGAGGACCGCTGCTTGGAGGATCGACTGGAATTGAATCAGATTAGGGCAAAAATGCCCTAAAAAAGAGGGATTTTTTTCAATACTGTCTTCCTTTATGTAAATCTTCGCATGAGAGAACCGTTAGCTCCTTCATATGATAACATTGCTCCACCAGAAACCATCTCCTCTCTCCCTCTCCCTCTCCCTCTCCCTCTCCCCAAGGTTTTAGCAAATTGGGTATATGTTCAATCAAACCGCCAGTTCACCGGTTTTCATAAAAATCGCTCAGTTTAATGGTTTAAAAACACTCCCCATGCCTATACAGTCCAACTCAAGAATCGGATCAGTCTAGACTCCGATTCACTCTTTAATCGGTTTGACCGGCTAGTCCGATCCAATTCTGATAACACTAATTACATTGTATTGTTACACTATCTTTGTTATACTATACGAAAAATACGGACAAATTTATATCTACAATGGCAGACCAATAGTATTTTCCTTTCAAATGCGAAACCCTGTGGATATTCAGAGGACGATTTAGGGCTTCTCGCCGAGGAAGATGAAAAAGTTTTTAGATAGGAAGAAGAAATGTTAACTTTGGTGAATTAATTTTCTTAAAAATCAGTGGTTAAACCTTATCACTGTGTACCTAATTATTTTTAAGATATATTCTTGAAGCTGTAATTAATTTTCAGATATATTCCTAAAACCGTTTTTAAGAAAGTAATGTTCTTAAAATCTAATGATTAAGCCTGTGTACATAATTAATGTTAAGATATATTCTTAAAACCGTTTTTTAAGAAAGTAAATATTAGAAAATGGATAGTTAAAGTCTTTGTATCTCAGCAATATACTTCTTCACAACACATTTTTTTTTTTGTATACTTTTTTATAATTATGTTTAATTTAGTGTACCGACTTCTAAAAGACCCTATTATATAAATGTGGGGGACATTAAAAAGCACCACACTTTCTTATCTTTTTTCTTTTCCTCAATGATACTGATGATTATGGGTGTCTATGGTCCGGACCGGGCTAGGCCCGCTAAATTCTTTTCGGGCTGAGCCTGGGTAGTATAGGCCCAAGCCCTTACCCAAGTGAGTTATCGAACGGATCGGGCCGAACTTCGGGTAGGGGTAGGCTATCTGCAGGCCACAGCCCAACCCGTGGCCCTATTAAACGGGCTTGTGGGCAGGCTTGTGGGCGGGACTGTGTTGTGGGGCTTTTTTATATATATTTTTATTTAAAAATAATGAATATTTTTGCATCTTAATATTTGTGTAAATTATATTTTTGAATCAAAAGTAAATTTAAAATGGATAAAAATAAAATAATGAACTACATCTAATAAAATAAATAAATCTCAACTATGTTGACACGGACATCTACTAACTTATCTATCATTTGTATTACTCTACCATTTAAAACTTATATGCTTAATACACGAAAAAAAAATAATACATTATTTATAATATCTAAATTTTTAAAACTTTAAATTTCGATATTGAGAGACTTATTTCAAAGTTTCAAATTTAATGGTCTAAAAGTATAATTTTTTTTCAAAAAAAAAGTAGGTAGGTTGGGCTGGGCTTGACGGACAGGGTTTTGGGCCGAGTAATGTGTTTAGGGACAAATTCAAGACCTCTTTTAAGAGATATTGGACTCGGGCTTGGACGGGCCAACTATCGGGTCTATCAGACTTCGGGCCAAGTAATGAAACCCGTGAATAACCTGGCTCATAGACATCCCTACTGATGATCGCTAATGAGCCAATTTGTCGCCCAGTGAGCCACTCAGTTACATGCACAGCCAATTCTCGGTGGAGTTCCTCAACCAAGTGGGCGATTTCTTCACAAAACCTAGTGACACTGATGACCGACGAATTGAAACAACGAATGAGTGAAAATGTTTCTCTAGCTTGTCCTCAAAGGTGCTCGTGGTTGGTCATAGCATACCAAGCCCAAATACCCATTGGAGCATACCAACCTATGCTTCAAAGAACAAAGAACCACTGAATTTGTATTATTAATGAGTTATTACAACTCTAGGCACAATTCACATATGCAACACGACACTAGTTGCAGAATTTTACTAGATTGGAATTTAACTCTAAAAAATCGATACAAACCCGGCAAAATGATATAAACTAAGATGAACACGAGTACATACAACATAAATCAGACTACAAATGAAATATAAGCACTATTAAACTTAATACAACATAACTTAATGTTGGTCCTAGTCGTTATATGTTCTGAGAGCTTTTGTCGTCGATTCAACCCATTGGCTTGGCTCCCAGCAATTCCCAATCTTGCTTCAACGGCCCATAGGCTTAAGCTTATGTTCTATACAGTACCAAGTTGATTATTATTAAAGCATGTGTCCTGTTGTCTACTAGGGCAGTATGGAGCACAACCTATGGAGCTTCATTTTCAAAATGCAATATAATACACCCAAATGCTGATCAAAATACCAGTTAGGCCGGGCCATTAACAAACAAGACAACTCATTCTTAGCAAAGGGGTCACCACCATGGTAACCTGAACTCCTTAGATAACGACTTTTGACAGCCACACAGTGAAAACGTAATAGAGGAGATCTGCATCCAATAAACATTGTCCTAATACAATTGAAACACTGCTAATCAATAGCACCAAGTATAGTGGAGCCAAGATAGAGGAGCCTCAATCATGTTAAGAAGTGCTAAAAATCAGGAAAGAAAAAGATAAACACATGATGGCAGTAACAGAGATTCATATCCTACATAAAGATACAACATTTAACCACAAAATGAAAAGTAATGAACAGAAATAGTAATCTTTACAAAGTTGTGACACATAAACTGTAGGAAGAATCATATAAGTAGATTTAAATTCCATCAGCACCTTGTTTTCTTACTCTTTCTAACACAAACAAATCAAACAGGAAAAAGAAAATGACAGGGCTACTTCTTCAAGCCTCTCTTCTACAACTCCCACTTGAACATTTTGTCACCAGGGGGTTACTGGAGATCCAAAAGGAGCCACCTTGTCAGATTCCAAATTCCACGAGAAGTAGGTTCTATCCCACTGGTTAAGATTAAAGCTAATTGAGTGACTACAAATTGTAGCTGTTCATTGGTGAGTATCCATTTCCATCAAGAAAGATTTTCATGCTCATCGTTGGAAGGTAGCTCAACTTCATGAAATCTGTACACATATAGCAATTAGTTTGTTTACATTGAACATATTTCTTTTACTCATTATGTCTCACATAATGGCTTTCTTTGACTACTATGATTCCAACCAATCAGTTATCCAATGTTCTAAATTCTGAAGCATGAATACAATATTGGTATACACTTCCGATACAGGAATATGACAAAATCTACAAAAATAGTAGATGGTTACCACCATGATACCTCAATAATAGAATGTTATTCTAAGTTTATTAATGTGTTAAATACATTAGTTATAAAGCAACCAGCAAGTTATTAGCAGCTAGTCTGGTAATAAAGTATAAAACAGGGCAGAGTAAAACCAATTTATACTAGACCTTATCACAGTGAAACAGTAACACAATAATAGCAAAGCAACACACTAATGAGAACCAAGTAACAGAATGCAACAGCAGGCAATAACAACATCAGTAACAGAAACGAAGTTGTTTGCTCCAGTGCTATTGTTTTAAAATTGGAAAATTATACATCGAGTCCTGCAATGCTCGTATGCGTGCCCCAGGTGTATCCCCTCACATCTGAGAGATATCTGAGAATAAAAAATTATTTCCTCAATTACGGTGCATGTATAGGGCATATCAGATAGATATTCGATGTATCAGACATATCCGTCTCCAATACGATACCAATACTGTCCCATTTTCCAAATATCCATGCCTTCATTCACCCGACCAACAATAACACAGAAGATGAGTGCATGAACACAATGTTGACAACATACATCAATATTAGCCGGTGACCTTACACCAATCACATGGGAGCAAAGTGCTCCTACCAGCTAGGCCCCAAAGCTTTTCGTAGGTTAAACCCATCTGGAACAGGAAAATGCACCCTAAATGATTACAAGTAGCAGCACACTTGGCATCACTCTTCACAAAAAACAAAGCAAAAACAGCAACATTACGCGACCACACAAGAATGAACGGTAAAATTAGCCTTCCACTTCTCCTTGGGAACACAACCAACATTTCCTCAAGCAATAATTCAACGGAATCCAACCACTTCATAAAGGGAAAGATGGAACCCAAACCCCACCACCATATCATTTAGGAGCTTTACCACCACAGCTAGAACATAAAACCAAATGACTTTGCAAGTTTCGATTGAAGGAAACAAATTCAGAGGTTTAAAGCTATTTCAACGTACAACAATCTCTAATTTAGGAATCTATTTAGTAGGTGCCTTATAAACAGTTTTATCACATTTACAAAGAGAAAACAAAAAAAAAATAGCGAAAGTGCCTTATAACAAATCAACTTGTGAAAGTGCATAGATTTCCTTCGGACAAAAACTCGCCATAAACTTCTACATATAGCACATGCTCCAACTAGCACAAGATGGTACCAATTCTATGCTAGAGTCCCGATATTTGCAGTTTCAATTTATATCAACATTGAACACAGAAGAATCATTTAACACTTTGGATTGTTACTAAATTTACTCGACTAGCCCTAGACACTGGAATCTTCTAACAATTTATATTTAAGGGTGTTAATTAAGCCTAGCCTTCCGCACTTGGATAGGTTCAAGCTTGGCTCGACCTATTCAAGAGATGTTCAAACTTGGCTTGAGCTCAGTTACCGAGCCCAAACTTCTGTTCAAGCTTGGCTCCACCTGAACTTGAGCAGAGCTCGAGCCAAAAATGAGCCTTTCAAAGAAAAAATCATAATTCATAATCTCCAAATACCCCATCCAAAATTTTCATATAAAATACCACAAAGCAATATTTAAACACAAATCTGAGCCAAAAGAACCTCTATATCGCAGCCAAATATACAAAATAATTATAATATCCAATTATCTATTCTTTATTACTTCTAATTGTCAATATATGTGAAAAGCTTTTGATTGACTAATTTATCCTTCAAAAATTACACAAAGGCAACAATGTCCTTGATGTTCTTTAATTAAGGAAATATTTTGATTTCCGAATTTGTCCTTAACTCATATTTATGTAGAATTCAATTCAATGATCTTTGAAATTCCATCTATGCAATCATTCCAAATTTTGCTTATTTAGACCAAAGAGGCTAATACTTATTCATGAATTCCATTCTACGATCTTTGAAATTCCATCTTTGTAACCGTCCCAAAATGTGCCTATTTAAATTGGAGGTGCTGATACCTAAGAGGTCTATATCATTTTGTCTATCTATTTTCTCCTTTCTTGAACTAAATTTCTCATCTTTCCTCACTATTTTTCTTATAGACTACTCCACTTTCATTTTGGAATGTTTTCTTCATACACAATGGAAATTAATCATCAGATTATAATCTATTCTTAGAGTGGCTACTACGAGCATGGAGTTGAGGAATTGTGTGATAGATTTAGTTCTTGAGGATTTGGATGCGAGAAGTCTATAGACAATTAATTGTTTGTGTTGATCAACATGGTTGAAGCAATATTAGTTGGTTTGATTTGATTAATCTTTCTTGAGTTGCCGAAGAAAAAAATATATATAAAAAAAGGAGCTGCTAGAAATTTTGTCCTGTTATAGAGATATGTACAAGTTTCACATTGTAGTTTGGGTTCAATATCAAGCATTTTTTAATTTGATTGCCTGTGTTGGTTTTTTAGGACTTTGTGTTTGTTAATGAATTTTTTGTGAAAGAAAAAAAAATTCTAGCAATGTATCACAAGTTAACTATGGCAACAGATTAAAACTCGATTCCAATCCACAGACATTTCATTTTAGTTGCCAATTTGGAAGAAAAAATATATGACTCCAAGCATTAGTCCAAGCCCATTTTGATCTCCTTGTGCAAACATCCAGACTAACAAAGGTTAGTTTGATTCCATAAAAGGTATTCTTTAATCCTTCCTTGAAATTTCCTAAGAAATTTGGGTGCATTTTTTTTTTTAATTTTAACTATAATTGTCAAATTGTATATTAGAAGGTGTATCGTTTTTCAAAAATAATGTATCGTAAGATATGATACAATTTTAAATAATTATTAATAAAAGGGCAAAATCCAGTTTACCCCATGGTAATTTGGTCATTTTACACATCACCTCCTTGTGGTTCAAAAATCAGCATATAGCCCCCTTGTATTTTTAGACTAAATTGCGACTGTTACTATTTTTGTCAAAAATAACATAAATTAAAACACGTGCAAGATTTGAAAGTGTGGATGTAAAAAAATTAAGTCAAAGTCAAAACTCAATCTAAAAGTCCAAATATATCCTTGTGATCTTTGAAAAAGATATTTTTTTATCTTCTACATTTTACTGCTAGAAAAAAAAATTCCTCATTTCTGATTTCCCTTTCCCCTTTTTCCATCTCTGTGCCTCTCCAGCTCTCGCCTCCTCTCTCTCTCTCTCGTAATTTTACTTATGGTTTTAGGTGGGGATGGTGGGATTTTCCAGTGGGTTTAGGCGTAGGTTTTGGGGCTGTTGGGGGTGGATTTTTAGGACTGTTGGGAGTGGATTTTCGAGGGTTTGAGGTGAGTTTTTAGGGAGTGTTGGGTGGGTCTCAAGGGGGTGTTGGGAGTGAGTTTTCGGTGGGGTTTGGGGGTGTTGGGTTGTTGTTGGTGGGGGTGGGTTTTCAGTATGGGTGGTTGGTGGTGGGTGGGGGATTGCAAGGGGTTTGTGGTGGGGTTAGGTGGTGTTGGGAGTGGGGATTCCAAGGGGCGTTGGGGTTGGTTTTCCGTGGGGTTTGGGGGTGGGGGTTTTGGTGGTGTTGGGTTGTTACTGGTGGGGGTGGGTTTTTGGTATGCACTTTAGTCCAGATTTGCATATTTCTTTGATTGATCAGTGAATTCCTTTCTCAATATGTCTAGATCGAGCATTAGCTTCCGTGCATTTCTCTCCCACATCTTAGCTTCTGAACGAAGCTCTTCAATGGTGTCTTATGCTGCTTCCAGTATGTTTTTGGAAGAACCAGCATTTGTCAGGGATGATGTAGCAATAACATGTGAAGAACTTTGCCCAAACTCTATTTCTTGATTCTGCAAATCATACCGAAAACCCACCCCAATCATGTTTTTATTTTTGTTTTCATAATTTTTTAAATATAAATAATTATCAAACATGTTTTATATTTTTTAATTTTTATCACAAAAAAAATATATTAGTTTTTGTGAACAATTGTGATTTAGTGGTGGGGGCCAATGACTAGTAATTCAGTTTGTGATTTATTAGTGATGGCCAATGACTAGTGATTTAGTTGAATGGAAGGTGAAGATGGAGTGGGGTCGGAGAAGATGTGGTGGTAAAGTTTATTCTGATTTTAAGAAGGGCAAGATGACCTTTTGCCACTGCCGTTTAACGGTGTTAGCTATGCGCTTTAGTCCAAAAACACAAGGGGTTATGTGCTGATTTTTGAACCACGAGGAGGTGATGTGCAAAATGATCAAACCACAAGGAGTAAACTAGATTTTGCCCTTAATAAAATATATATACCTTTGCAAAAAAGTCATAAGACTCATAAAACTATAACATTTTATTAATATTCCACAAACTATTCAAATTCTCAACATAATTTACTAATATTAAAATACAAAGTTCCCCACATAGTTCACTAATTCAAACTTCTAACACCCAAGAGACCTCTAATCCAAACTTCTAACACCCAAGAGACCTCTAATCCAAGAAGGCAGTAGCAGATCCAGAGGACTGAGAAGGCAATTGTACATGGTCTTCGTCGAGGCCGTGGATGACTGTGGATGACTTCGTCGATGAAGAAAAGAGAGAAGACAAACATTTATTTCTGTTTGCAAACCCTAGCCACTTGTCGGTGAAGAAAAGAGAGCCTTTATTTTTTTTTTAAACCCTACCCATTAAAATGACGTCATTTCACTGGTTATAGGGATAAAAAAATCAGTCTTTGTTGAAACGACGTCATTCAGCAAAAAAAAAAAAATTAAATACAGACTTCGCGTGTCATGTGTATCGAACGATACGTATCCTATCGTAAGTACTGTATAGTGTATTAGACGATAAGATGCAAAAACGATATAAAGACCCGATTCGTATCATTTTCACTGTGTATTGTGATGTATCACACGATATTAATAACTATAATTTTAACACCAGCTAAGAAAAAAAATTTGAAAGTTGTTCTTTTATATCGTGATTTGAAATGAATCTTGGGTGTGGGTGATGTTAATATAAGGTTATTCGCAAAAAATTGGTAGTGTTTGACATGTGAATAAGAATTGTTCATTAGGCGACATGGTCCTGATTAAAAGAAATAATCATAAGACGAAAAAGTGCAAATCTCGTTCTTTTTACATGAATTATAGGATGAAAATATGCTATTTATAATCAAGTTTTGATTACATCTAATTATTTTACAAGATTTCTAAGGTTGGTCAAACAATGAATTGCACAATGAGTTATAGGGTATAAATCTAAGCAATTTGGGTGTGCCCAATGATAAAAGTATGCCCTTTGCTTTGACTTTATTAGTTAGAATTGTTTCTTTTGATAGGGTAAGTCTAATGAAAACTTTCTTTCTTAAAGGTTTGTGATTTTTCATTAGGAGACATCATATCTAAGTACCGATAAAAAAAAATTAAAGACATGGTATCTAAGCGAGTTGGGTGTGTAGAATGATAAAAATAACATACGTGTTCATGTTCAGTAAGTAGAATATGCTTGCTATTTTCACGATTGTATGCTTTATTCAAGAGTGAAATTGTATATTGTTTATTAAGTTTTTAAAATTATGTTTACATCCTATGATTCGCTTTTACTTTGAGTGAATAGTTGGGGTTAATTTTGGTAAGATGACTCATGAGTGAGTTTATGTTGGTGTTATATTATAACTAGATTAGTTAGTAGGGTGATTTAGGAGCAAAGAAAACTATATTTGTGTGAGGCATTCTTATGAGTGAACTTTAATTTTTGCTGCAAAACTAGACATTTTTTGACCAATTCATGAAGTTATAAGATTGGAGGGTAAAACATAACATGGTACCTTGTATGCTTTCCAGGATCTTACTTTTCTATTCAATTTTTGTTGTTTGATAAAACCAAAAGTAGAGAAACAAACACATGGCCCTCAAAATTTGAACAGATAAACCTACAAAGTTATATACTACA